CTCAGTTTGTTTCTCAGAGTCCATAGTCTCTCATGTACTTGATTTTTTATTTGAACCAGCTCACTTCTTTTTTTACCTTTAATTTAGTTTGAAGCAAAAGCTTAATATCCCTAATATACATGGAAAGCAAGTATTATTTGACATTGATGGGTAACGATAAAATAAACACAACGAGAATAACTATGTTATTAGGTTTTGGAAACTGAAGGAAAAAAACTGCAGTGGAATATAAATAATAGTAAATGTATTTGATTTGCAAAACACATAAACAATACCTACAGAGAAAGTCCTTCTTTAATTAGAATGGTTCTTTTTGTGCCTAGTCAGATATTTAGCTCACTGTCACTTAATTGAAGGTAAAAGGTAAGGTTTTACATCAATATTTTCTTTGTTAATCAGTCCAACTCTTACATGGTTGTTCGTCATCAGTTAGCCGAATGATAACATCAGATTTTAGTAGAGGTTTCTGGATACTTTGAACAGTGGGGAAGGAATGCAGAAAAGCTGGATCACCTACTTCTGTTCCCTCTAGGCCGGTGTTTATACTGACCTTCACCTCAGAAAAAAGAAGCATAAGAAATTTTATGAAATTAAAATAACTCATCTTTTCTCTGTGTGTCCTGGGGCCTTTTCTTGAGGGCACGAAGTGGGTTGCAGTGGCTATAAGCTCAGGCATCCCCTAGCACAGGACTGGACTTTGTGTGCAGCTTCTGGTCCTGGTGCTCTGTGCAACTGGTCAGGATGTTCCTGACACTGTGGCAGGGTGCACATGTCCACTTGGACTGCTGGGTCACAGCTGCTGCTGTACAGGCTGCTGCTGATGTTCAGGGAGAGAAAACCTCAGTCTTCTGGGTGTCCTCAGAAGGAAGCCTGTGCAGATTTTCTTCCACCGACCATTAAAAATCATGTCATGTGCCACCACAGATTTCGTGACTTAGGGAAATAGTGCTTTAGACTGTAGTTTCTTCAGATTTTTTTTTTTAAAGATTTTTTATTTATTCATTTGAGACACAGAGATACAGAGAGAGAGAGAGCACGAGCAGGAGCAGAGGCAGAGGGAGAGGGAGAAGCAGGCTCCCCGCTGAGCCAGGAGCCTGATGCAGGACTCTATCCCAGGACCCCGGGATTGTGACCTGAGCCGAAGGCAGACGCTCAACCATCTGAGCCACCCAGGTGCCCCCAGATGTTTCTTGAACAGTGATGTCACAGCAGTTGTTCTTCACCTTTTCCCCTAAATAGTCCTGGTATGGACTTAGTAGCTATCTATCTATCTATCTATCTATCTATCTATCTATTTATTTATTTATATATATAAGATTTTACTTACTTATTTGACATAGAGGGAACACAAGCAGGGGGAGTGGGAGAGGGAGAAGCAAGCTTCCCGCCGAGCAGGGAGCCTGACACGGGGCTCGATCCCAGGACCCTGGGATCATGACCTGAGCCCAAGGCAGATGCCTAACGACTGAGCCACCCAGGCACCCCTGGACTTAGTAGCTTTTAAAAAGTGGTCTTCAGAGTGTGTAGTAGTTGTCATATAGTATTGGAAACCTTGTGACTACCAACTCTTGTATTTGCTAATGTCTCTTTGGTATACTTGAGTTTGTGTGAAGCAGTGCTTTTTGGAGTGTAGTGTAATTAATAATTAAAAGACTGATCTCCTAAGATACAGCTAGAATAACTAATTGTCTTCATTTTGAAAGTTTAGCTTGTGGGATTTCTAAGTAGCTAAAGAATGGATTGATCGGTAGGTTGAATTGGCAAAGAACCATGGGCAGGCTGCAGATTTGTCTTGCAGATGTTTTTCCAGATGCGAATTCAGAAGTCAGGGCGGTGACTGCTGTAGTAGCTTGGCCCTGGGAGTGGGAGCAGCGGCTGTTGCTGGGGCCCCTGCTGGAGTCTGAAGGAGATCCTGCTGTGCTGTTTCTTTTGTCTTGCCTGTTTGGCTTAATTTCCCAAGTGGACACGATGCTCTGAGCATCTTCTGGCTTGCCACCTGGAGGCTGTGTAACTCTGCAGAGGTTCCATTAGTGTCAAAAGAAAGTAATATGTTCACTTGATCATTTGAGTCACTTGGCATCACCCCTACCCCTCCACATCCCGTATCCTTAAATCTTCTTTCCAGACCCATCCCAGGGCACCTAAATCCTTTATTAAACTGACTTCACGCCAAATGTACTTATTTTTGATTTAGTTACATTTAGCCAGTCATAGTATTCACTGGGGGACACAAAGGTAGAGAGAAGAAAGGCAGGCCTTCTGCTTCTCCAGGTGTATTTAAGGATATTCATCTAAAGTGGCATTATTGCTTCACTGTACCCAGTTTCCTAGAGACTAAGCAGGTCTACTTGATGTTGAATCTATACCTGAGTTGAAAGAAAGTCATCTTAATAAAAGGCTTGCATATGAGCTTTTTTGTAATCTAACTTTTTTTTGATCTTTAATATAATAAATAAATATTGAGGATTTTGATTCTTCACAACCAGTCAGTGCCTTCTTTTTTTTTTTTCAAGATTTTTTTTACTTGTTTATTTGACAGAGAGAGACGCAGCGAGAGAGGGAACACAAGCAGGGGGAGTGGCAGAGGGAGAAGCAGGCTTCTCGCCAAGCAGGGAGCCCAATACGGGGCTCCATCCCAGGACCCTGGGATCATGACCTGAGCCAAAGGCAGACACTTAACACCTGAGCCACCCAGGCGCCCCGAGTCAGTGCATTTTTTATCGGGCCTCCATATGGTTGCTGGATAGTACCTGTTTATTGCCAACCTTAGAGACCTTACAGCAAGTACGATTATACCTTAGCCTTAGTGTGCTCATGAGCTTGTAGCAATCACTTATCATTCCCATTCTAATTGTTTATGGCATCATTGCTTATATACATTACATAATCAATGAAAATCCTCTTTATTACCTTTGGAAAATCTGTGAAGAGATTTTCCATTAGAACATGATAGTAATGGTTTAAAAATTTTATGTAAACCTTTTACAGTTAAAAATACCATATCAATATGTCTACCATGTACCTTATCTGAAAAATTATTAACTGTGAGAGTGTGCAAAATGGACTTGCCTCCTCACCTGTACACACTAAATATTTGACATTTACCTAACATTTAGTGCCAGTGCTATTTCAGGTACTTTTTACTTCTGCCCATCTGTTTAATTTTTCTAACAAGATACAGGTACTCTTTATAATCTTAGTTTATAGATGAGAAAACTGAGACACACAGGTAATTTACCCAAGGTCGTGTAGGTAATAGATGATGGCATAGCTGGGATTCACATCTCAGCATTTTGACTTACAGTCAGCTCTGCTGAATTGCCATTTAAAGTGGAGAGTAGTGTAATTATTTAAATTTTGGTTTTAGTCATTTTAAATGTGACATTCTTTCATTGGGTAGGAATTTGGTCTCTATTTTTTCTAAGATCTCCACTGAAGTAATGAAGTGTGTGGTCCATCATTGAACTTTCTCTGTTTCTACTCTACCTTTAAAATTTCTGTAACAGTTCTATGTGGAGGAGCAAAGAATGGCATGTAAAAAAGTGTTACATGGATTTTAGTTGCTTGGTTAATTGCTTTACAACCCACTGGAGGCTTCAAGCTTGGCAAGAGAGACATGCATTTTCCTGTGTGGAATTCTCTGTTTGGGAACCGAAATGTCCTGTAATGAACTGCATTAATTTACTTCTACCCTGAACATTCTCTTTTCACCTAGCATGTTTCGCCAAGGGATGCATGACTTGAAAGTCTGGCCTAATGTAGAAGCAGATGGATCAGAACCCACAAAAACTCCTGGCAGAACAAGCAGTACTCTTTCAGAAGATCAGATGAGCCGCCTTGCCAAGGTAAAAAAGAAACTATCAGAACAGGTGGAAAGCTCTGAGTGATGCCTGCTATAGAAGAAATTGGCATTATGAATTCTGTCAGATCATTTTTTAATTTAAATTTAATTTTTTAATAATAATTTTACTGGAATGATAATTCACATACTGTAAAATTCACTCTTGGAAAGTGTATAGTTCGGTGGTTTTTTAGTAAATTCACTAAAAGTTGAATTGTGTAGTCATGCCACTATTTAATTTTAGAACATTTTCATCAAAAATGTCGCCATACACTGTACCTATTAGTGGTCAGTCCCCTTTCCCTCTGCTCTCCAGCCCCTGGCAGCTATTAATCTACTTTCTATCTCTGTGGATGTTCCTATTCTGGACATTTTGTACAAATGGAATTATACAGTATGTGGTCTTTTGTGTTTATAATTCTGTCAGATTTGAGAATGTAGAGCTTTTGGTGATACTTTCAAGATGACTGTCTACCTTTTTTGGTGACATAGTCTTAAAGATGCAAGTATTACATGCTAGACATTCTTATGTTGCTTGGAAGTAACACTATAAAACCAGCTTAAATTATTACCTGGTCTCAATTGCTCTCACACTTCCCCCACTTCTTTTTTTGTAATCAGGCGCTGAATTGTTACTTTTTTATTTAAAAATTGTTTTAATGTAGTGTTTTCATTTAGGAAAAAAGAAAAACTCGGATCAATTCTGTGCTTAAATCACAACAGTATAACTTTTTTTTGTTCACAAAGCACTATGCCAGATACTGTGTAAAGATCCTTTTACAGTTCTTCTGAGAGACTCTTTTAATTCTTATATGTAAATTTCCTTTTCAGTCTTACTTGTATGGATGACTCTTTAATGTCTGGAGAAAGTTTTGATGCCAGGCATTTTATAGCTTGTTGCCTCAACCTATATATGGAAGAAATCTTAATTATAAAGAATAAATACTTGCATTGCTTGGCTTTGTTCGTCAACATAAAATTTTTGTTGTCAAGTTCATTCTTTGTCTTTTAGTGTTGCTCTTTTATGGAAAAATGATATCATAGTTTCCTCATAAGCTTTCTTTCTTTTTATTTTTTTTAATTTTTTTATTGTTATGTTAATCACCATACATTACATCATTAGTTTTAGATGTAGTGTTCCATGATTCATTGTTTGTGCATAACAC